TTTTTTGTGTTTTTGTTTTCCATTTTTTGTCTGGAAAAAATGCCACATATATTTCAAGAAATATACCCCGCCTAGCCTCCTCTGCCTCTCTTACAAGTCAGGTTTCTTTTTTTTTTTTTTCTTTTGTCTTCTCTGAATTCTCTGGGTTTTCTCGGAAGGTTAATATATTTCTTTTTTTTTCAGTTAGCTATATTATAACTTCACCATGAAATATATTATTGTCTCTAAAATATATTCCCTCCGCCTCAGTATGATCATTTTTTTCCTGAAATATATTATCTTTTTATCTTAAATATATCACAATTTCCCCCAGAAATATATTATTCCAGATTATTTTCCCCCCTGACAATAATTGCATGGAATTAAAAGTATTTTTTGGGTAATAGTTACTTTAGAGATACAAATTATTTTTGACTTGAAACTGCATTAAATAACTGAAAAGTTATCTATACCTGGAGTGAGTTTTGGGGGTCAACGCCCCCGCGGTGCGGTCTGTGACCGCGCGAGGTCACAGCTCCAGGTGCTGTAAGACTCTAATGGGTTTGGCGATTCTCCATGAATAATAATAGTAATAATAATAATAATAATAATTATTATTATTATTATTATTATTATTATTATTATTACTATTATTATTATTATTATTATTATTATTATTATTATTATTATTATTATTATTATTATTATTACTATTATTATTATTATTATAATGAAATCAGCAAAGATAGGACCTAAGGTAGGCTTAATTTATATGACAAACTAAGATAATTCCACTGCAGTTAGGTTTATTTTACATTTTCTAATTATTATTTATAAATATTGAGTTTTTAGACATAAAATTCCAAAGAGAGAGAGACAGGTATCCCTCTTGCACTTTCTCTCTCTCTCCTCTCTTTCCTCTCTCCCTCTCTCTCTCCGCACAACACCTCCTAACTGGCAATATCTTAACAGTATCGTCACGTTCCATTAGGCCAAGTGGATCACAGACCCCTTAAGGAACGACCAGGTGCTCACTTAATAACCCTTACTTCCCTGCTAGATGGCTGCTTGGGTCGTTAGCAGGTGTGCTGCCCATTCTCTCAATGCTAATTGGTCTCCATTTACCAGGTAACGATTTCGTGATTACCTTTCTGAGGATTTTCAGGTATGGCATGTGGATTAGTTTACACGTGCGCGTGTGTTTGTACGCATGTCTGTGTGCGTGTATGTGTGCGTAATGACATAGGAGTGTGTACGCATGCAAGTGCATAACAGTCAACATTATACTAGCATCAGTTATAATATTTTTATGAGCAATAATAACAAAGTGCTAACATAATCATTATTATCATCTTTATTATTACGGATTATTATAGATGACAGTGAGAAGCGCATAACATATACACAGCACCTGGAGATCTAGGAGGCAATTATTTTTCATCCGAGGAAGGGGAGAAGAAACTGTACCATCAGAGGTGAATTACTTTGAAGTCTCACCTGGCGAAGATGTCTTCGAGAGTGTTCACAGCTGCGAGGTGGGAATCTCTGTACCGTTCTCCCTGGCTCCTTGGCTGATGGTGGATCGAGTGGTCATGGTGATGGCGGTAGTGGGCTCGTCTCTGGTGCACTGCGTCGTGAAGGCGTCGTTGGACTCCATATCTTGGGCCTTGGCGTTCTTGGGCCGCGAAGAATTGCCTCGTCGGCGCGGGAAGACGGAGTTCTCGACAGCCAAGGAGCTGTTGACATCCTTCCTGGTGGCGCAGATGCACGCCTTCATGAAGCTCTTCTTAAAGTTCTCGCTCAGGAATGCATACAGTATGGGGTTGATGGCGGAGTTGATGTAGGACAAGCAGGAGGAGATCAGGAAGAGGATGACCATGAAGGGGCTCTGTCCCTCCCTCGGGGGGCTGAAGATGAGCGCCAGCTGCAACACCCAGTAAGGCAGCCAACACATGACGTACACGGTGATCACCGTCAACACCATCTTCGTCACCTTCCTGTGGCTCTTCTTCTTCTCTTTGGATCTTGCTTTAGGTCCCACGGACTTGAGTTTGTGCAGCACCAGACCGTAGAATATAAAAATAAGGACGAGAGGAATGCCAAAAGCGAGGATGAAGGAATACAACGTGAAAACAAACTGGCCGCTGATACCAAAGCTGTCTGGCCAGAAAATGTTGCAGTTGATAAGCTCGTTGACTTCGAGTGTGTTAGAGTACATGAAGACTGGCACTATCATGAGGGCGGAGGTGGTCCAGGCAGTCAGGGACACCAGTTTAGAGATCATTGGCGTTCGGAACTTGGGTGAACTGATGGGGTGGCAGACGGCGATGTAGCGGTCAGCGCTCATGATGGTGAGGAAGAGCGAACTGGTGAACTGGTTGAGCGACGTGGTGATCATGTACAGCTTGCACATGATGGAGCCGAAGGCCCAGTAGCCCAGAGCTGAAGTGATCATCAAGAACGGAATACCTATGACGAATAGCTCGTCGGCAATGGCTAGATTGACGATGTAAAGGTTTGTTACCGTCTGCATCTTGGAGAACCTAGTGACGACGTAAATAACGAGGGTGTTGCCGCAAAGACCCACCAGGAAGGCGACAGCGTAGCTGGCCTGCATAACGATGTTGGCCACCATGTTAATGGGTGACACCTCCCCCGTGAACACCCCCAGAGAGCAGTTGTATCCCTCTTCAGCGTCAGTAGTATTGAGGTAAGAACAGTTCAAAGGGTAGTAAGTCTCGTTGGTCTCATAGTCCAGAGGCGGAGTCGCGTTCATTGTGGCGGCTGGCTTTGCGACTTCGATCAAAAGTATATATCTTCTCCTGTGTCCCCCCGAGAGAAACACTCCAGAGAACCTGGTCGGGTTTCTTTACTGTAGCGATGGCATGAGAACGATTTTCTGCCCCTCACATCTTCACTGCTAACTTTTCTTGAAAATTGTGAAGACCATGTTTGTCCAGGGATCAAAGGTCCCTCGGAATTGTGATGGATCAAAGACACTCACAGGATATTGATGTTATGTAAGTCTTTACAATTCTTATTCCTTGTTACTCTTTATTCTTTGCTACTCTTTATTCTTCTCTACTCTTACTCGTGGCACCTACACGCCCTCTCGTCCAGGTGAAGAGCAGATGCTTCACGAAAAATTCTGAAAGAGAAGGAAAAAAAGATGTCAGTTTTAAAGTGAGAGTCGTTTGTACCTTGCACGACCCTCTCATCACACGAGCACGACCACACTAGCACGACCACGCTACTACCTCGACACTAGCACCACCACACTACCACCATCACACTACCACCACCACACTACTACCTCGACACTAGCACCACCACACTACCACCACCACACTACCACCACCACGCTACTACCTCGACACTAGCACCACCACACTACCACCATTACACTACCACCACCACACTACCACCACCACACTACACCACCACACACTACCACCACCACACTAGCACCACCACACTACCACCATCACACTACCACCACCACACTACCACCACCACAACTACCACCACCACACTACCACCACCACACTACCACCACCACACTACCACCACCACACTACCACCACCACACTACCACACCACATACCACCACCACACTACCACCATCACACTAGCACCACCACACTACCACCACCACACTACCACCACCACACTACCACCACCACACTACCACCACCACACTACCACCACCACACTACCACCACCACACTACCACCACCACACTAGCACCACCACACTACCACCATCACACTACCACCACCACACTAACCACACCACCAACTACCACCACCATACTAGCACCACCACACTACCATCACCATACTAGCACCACCACGCTACTATCACCACACTAGCACCATTACACTACCATCACCACACTAGCACCACACCACTACTATCCCCATACTACCACCACCACACTACCACCACCACACTACCACCACCACACTACCACCACCACGCTACTATCACCACACTACCAACACCACACTACCACCATCACACACCACCACCACACTACCACCACCACACTACCACCACCACACTACCACCACCACCACACTACCATCACCACACTAGCACCACCACGCTACTATCACCACACTACCACCATTACACTACCATCACCACACTAGCACCCCACCACTACTATCCCCATACTACCACCACCACACTACCACCACCACACTACCATCACCATACTAGCACCACCACGCTACTATCACCACACTAGCACCATTACACTACCATCACCACACTAGCACCACACCACTACTATCCCCATACTACCACCACCACACTACCACCACCACACTACCACCACCACACTAACCACCACCACACTACCACCACCACACTACCACCACCACACTACCACCACACACTACCACCATCACACTACCACCACCACACTACCACCACCACACACCACCACCACACTACCACCACCACACTACCACCACCACACTACCACCACCACACTACACCACCACACTACCACCATCACACTACCACCACCACACTACCACCACCACACTACCACCACCACACTAGCACCACCACACTACCACCACCACACTACCACCACCACACTACCACCACCACACTACCACCACCACACTACCACCATCACACTACCACCACCACACTACCACCACCACACTACCACCACCATACTAGCACCACCACACTACCATCACCATTACTAGCACCACCACGCTACTATCACCACACTAGCACCATTACACTACCATCACCACACTAGCACCACACCACTACTATCCCATACTACCACCACCACACTACCACCACCACACTACCACCACCACACTACCACCACCACGCTACTATCACCACACTACCACCACCACACTACCACCATCACACTACCACCACCACACTACCACCACCACACTACCACCACCACACTACCACCACCACACTACCATCACCACACTAGCACCACCACGCTACTATCACCACACTACCACCATTACACTACCATCACCACACTAGCACCACACCACTACTATCCCCATACTACCACCACCACACTACCACCACCACACTACCATCACCATACTAGCACCACCACGCTACTATCACCACACTAGCACCATTACACTATCCATCACCACACTAGCACCACACCACTTACTATCCCCATACTACCACCACCACACTACCACCACCACACTACCACCACCACACTACCACCACCACAACTACCACCACCACACTAGCACCACCACGCTACTATCACCACACTAGCACCACCACGCTACTATCACCACACTAGCACCATTACACTACCACCACCACACTAGCATCACAACCACATACTATCCCCATACTAGCACTACCACACTACCACCACCAACCACACTAGCACCATTACGCTACTATCACCACACTAGCACCACCACACTACCACCACCACACTAACACCACCACCACACTAGCACCACCACACTACTATCACCACACTAGCACCACCACATTACCACCACCACACTACCACCACCAGACTAGCACCATCACACTACCACCACCACACTAGCACCACCACACTAGCACCACCACACTGGCACCACCATACTAGCACCACCACACTAGCAACCACCACACTAGCACCACCATACTAGTACCACCACACTAGCACCACCACACTAGCACCACCACACTGGCACCACCATACTAGCACCACCACACTAGCAACCACCCCACTAGCACCACCATACTAGTACCCACCACACTAGCACCACCACACTACTATCACCACACTAGCACCACCACACTACCACCACCACACTACACCACCACACACTACCACCACCACACTACCATCACCACACTAGCACCACCACGCTACTATCACCACACTAGCACCAGCATACTACCACCACCACACTAGCAGCAGCACACTACCACCACCACACTAGCACCACACCACTACTATCCCCATACTAGCACTACCACACTACCACCACCACACTACCACCACCACACTAGCACCACCATACTAGCACCACCACACTAGCACCACCATACTAGCACCACCACACTAGCACAACCATACTAGCACCACCACACTAGGTTGGTTAATGGGGCTTCAAGCCTCTCCAATAGACGAAGGCTCTTAAGGCTGTATGTCACCTTCTCACCCCTAGACAAGAATAGGTAAATCCCTATAGTCAGGATTACCCCAAATCTCAGCTTATATACACTGAGTGACATACACCACACTGTGTATATACACTGAGTGACATACACCACACTGTGTATATACACTGAGTGACATACACCACACTGTGTATATACACTGAGTGACATACAACACACTGTGTATATACACTGAGTGACATACAACACTGTGTATATACACTGAGTGACATACACCACACTGTGTATATACACTGAGTGACATACACCACACTGTGTATATACACTGAGTGACATACAACACTGTGTATATACACTGAGTGACATACACCACACTGTGTATATACACTGAGTGACATACAACACACTGTGTATATACACTGAGTGACATACACCACACTGTGTATATACACTGAGTGACATACAACACACTGTGTATATACACTGAGTGACATACACCACACTGTGTATATACACTGAGTGACATACACCACACTGTGTATATACACTGAGTGACATACACCACACTGTGTATATACACTGAGTGACATACAACACACTGTGTATAACACTGAGTGACATACACCACACTGTGTATATACACTGAGTGACATACACCACACTGTGTATATACACTGAGTGACATACAACACTGTGTATATACACTGAGTGACATACAACACTGTGTATATACACTGAGTGACATACAACACACTGTGTATATACACTGAGTGACATACACCACACTGTGTATATACACTGAGTGACATACACCACACTGTGTATATACACTGAGTGACATACACCACACTGTGTATATACACTGAGTGACATACACCACATGTGTATATACACTGAGTGACATACACCACACTGTGTATATACACTGAGTGACATACACCACACTGTGTATATACACTGAGTGACATACAACACACTGTGTATATACACTGAGTGACATACACCACACTGTGTATATACACTGAGTGACATACACCACACTGTGTATATCCTGTGGTTCGCCACATTATCTGAAATTAAACTTATAAATACGTATAATCTATTAAATATTATCATTTAGAACTTAAGTGTCTAAATTAAGTTTCTATATATTATTAAAAACATGTGTTTTTAATAATAATAATAATAATAATAATAATAATAATAATAATAATAATAATAATAATAATAATAATTAATAATAATAATAATAATAATAATAATAATAATAATTAATAATAATAATAATAATAATAATAATAATTAATAATAATAAAATAATAATAATAATAATAATAATAATAAATAATATAATAATAATTAATAATAATAATAATAATTAATAATAGTAATACTTCCTATATTAAATTGAAAAAAACTTATAAATTAAAATTTCTGTTTAAATGAGACGACTTTGTCTGTGATCAACCAGATTGTTGATGTAAATCCCACCAGCTCATACACCAAACATCGGCTCATACACTAAACACTGAACACGTGTATTTACCTCTCAAGGTTCATAATTTGCGTATTTTTTTCAATTTCAGCCTAATTTTTAAATTTCCACGCACTTGTACGCCCTCTCAACCGAACCAGCGTATTAAGGTTAATCCTTGCGTAATTGCGTAATGTGATATTCGTAAAGACTCAGTGTGCGTAAATGCGTGTACGCTCGCTGCCCTCGTCATGATAACGCTGTACAAAGATTTTTGAGAATTACAGCTGCCACGGTCTTCTTGTGGAGGATAAAACTCGTGTTTATCCGCCTCCGGTTCGAGTACCCGCATTGTTATGAGATTGTGGTACCCGCATTGTTATGAGATTGTGGGTACCCGCATTGTTATGAGATTGTGGTACCCGCATTGTTATGAGATTGTGGTACTCGCATTGTTATGAGATTGTGGTACCCGCATTGTTATGAGATTGTGGTACCCGCATTGTTATGA